GTGCAGCCTCAAAAAAAAAAAAAAATACTCACATGCTTAGCAAGCCATTTGAAATATTCAAACGTCTTTCCATCGTACAAGTTCTCTTCTATATTCAAAATAACAATATCTCCGTACGTTTTAGCTTCCTCCTCCAGTTTATCCTTAAGTTCATCCTTTGGCAGTCCTATGATAAACCTAATCGTCACGGGAGATTTCTCGACTCCGAGATACCGCGCTAGAGCGGCATTGTTATGTGAATACAATTCGCGCAAGCACTTCCTAAACTCGATTTTCTCATAGATGCTATAAATCCCGATGAAGACCGTTAAGTTATGGTCCACGCCCGGAGGGGGTTTGATATAGGTATCATCTACGTTAGTCAATAGTGTTACTGTCGATTCTAAGGGCTGAGAATAGTTTGAAAGGAAGTAATATAAGTAAAAAGTATAGCAAATGATGATGGAAATAACGTAGTATTTATATTCTTTGAGCATTTTTATAATCAAAGTCTTTTTGAATATACGTACGATACATGTGTAATCATATATATCGAGAATTCGTTGGTGCAACTAACAAGCGGTTCAACATAATTTTCGATACATCCCAATAGGAACTTTCTGCCAACAATCAGCCAATTACAAATGTATAATCATATAATCAAACAAGTATTTTTTTTTTTTTTTTTTAAACTCCAAATCAGAGCAGAGATTTTTTTCCCGAAATAAATGACATGGGGGGTGTTCTCCTTACCTCATACTCCTACGGCACTTGTGTGAAATTTCCGGATCATGAGAGCTCCTATATAAATGCAAACATGTGACTTTATTGCTGATCGAACTTTCGATTTCCGAAATATAAACCGGAATAAAATCCGATCACCAAAAACATAATAAGCACGGAAATTTCACTACAAATTCGTCTGCAAGAATACCGTAGGGGTGTTGCATACATGAGGTAAGGAGAACACCCCCCATGTCTTTTATTTTGGGAAAAAAATCTCTGCTCCAAATCAGGCTGCATCA